ACCTATGCCTCGGGAAGAAGTAGGAAGAATTTTATTTCTAAGCTCAATCTTAATTAGAGAGAAGTGGAGAATCCTGAGGAAATTTCTGAAGCTTTCCTTTCTTTCTTTAAAAACCTTTACTCCAAGGATAGTGAAAATCAATTCACAATACTTAATTGGGATAGCACTACCCTTTCAGCTGAAAAGAGGGATTGATTGGAAAGAAGTTTTGAAGAGGAAGAAGTCAAGAAGACTATTTTCAGCATGGACGGTGATAGGGCTCTAGGGCCGGATGGCTTCCCTATCTTTTCTTCCAAAATTGTTGGGAAATTGTAAAGTCAGATCTCATGGAGTTTTTCAGGGACCTCCATTCATCTGCCATTGTTAACAAGGGCCTTAACTCTACCTTTCTCTGCCTCATCCCTAAGAAAGGGGGAGTTTTGGAAGTTAAAGACTTTGGACCCATAAGTTTGGTTGGGAGCATATACAAAATTTTGGCGAATGTTCTGGCCAATAGACTTAAAGAAGCCCTTGAAGATCTAATTTCCCCAAATCAGTTTGCTTTTGTTAAAGGAAGACAAATTGTGGACAGCATTCTTATTGCAAATGAGTGTGTAGAAGACAGAAAATCCTCTGGGATCCCAGGGGTCCTTATGAAACTTGATCTTGAGAAGGCGTACGACAAAGTGGATTGGGTCGGCATTCTTGATTGCTTAAGGCTAAGAGGTTTTGGGAGAAACTGGATTAGGTGGATTAAAGGGTGTATTGGCTCTCCATGGTTTTCAGTATTGATAAATGGTGAAGCGAAAGGTTATTTCAAGGCAAGCAGGGGTCTAAGACAAGGTCGTCCTCTTTCTCCTTTTCTTTTCACTTTGGTGATGGATATATTTAATTATCTCTTTGACAAGTCAATTCTTTTCAACTTGGTGAAAGGTTTTGAAGTGGGTAGGGATAAACTTCACATCTCTCACTTACAGTTCGCTGACGACATAATCCTATTCTTAGATGCCTCTATAACCAACATCACAAACACTAAAATGGTAATTGAATGTTTTGAGATTCTTACTAGTATGAGAGTTAATTTCTACAAAAGTAGTATTGTGGCTATCAACTCAGTGGAAGTGGATCTTCTAGAAAATTTCAAATCTTTATTGGGGTGCAAAGTGGAGAATCTACCCATTACCTACCTTGGGATGCCTCTTGGAGGGAATCCAAAATCCCTCAACTTTTGGAGTCCTGTGTTGGAGAAATGCGAGAAGAAACTATCGACTTGGAAAAAGTGTTATCTCTCCAAAGGGGGTAGGCTTACTCTCTTGAAGGCCTCCTTATCAAATCTGCCGGTCTACTTTCTCTCTGTCTTCCAGATTCTGACCAAAGCCAGAAATCAGATTGAGAAGCTTCAAAGGAATTTTCTTTGGGAAGGTGGTGGAGATAAGAGAAACCATTTAGTYAGYTRGAAACAAGTATGCAGACCAAAAGAGGAAGGCGGTTTGGGTATTGAACAGCTTAAAGAGAAAAATTCCTCTCTTCCATGCAAATGGCTCTGGAGATTTCCGAAAGAACCTAATGCTCTTTGGACTACTGTCATCTCAAGTAAATATGGACGAAATACAAACGGGTGGGATTGCAATCTCCATTTGAACAGGATAAAGGCCATCAATCCTTGGAAAGGTATATGTTCCATTCATACTTCTTTCTTTCCTTTTATAAGGTATAAAGTGGGAAATGGTTCTAAAATTAAATTCTGGAAAGATCTTTGGTGGGGGTAATCTACCTTGGATGCCTCTTTCCCTAAGGTTGTTTAACCTCACCCTTGTCCAAGCCTCTATTTCTGATTGCCTCCCAAACCAGTCCACCGAGAATTCTTTAAACCTCCACCTCAGAAGACCCCTAAGGGACTCGGAGATTTCTGATTTAATAGCTTAAATCCAAACCCTCAAAGATGCTTATATATCCCCCTCTCATTCTGACACCCGAATATGGACCCTTCACCCAAATGGCGAATTCTCTTCTAAGTCTATGTTCAGGGCTTTGACTGCTGAAGATCAGCATCCCTCTTTTCCTTACAAGAAAATTTGGTGCAGTCACATCCCCTCAAGAATTTGCTTTTTTGTATGGGAAGCCTGTCTCCAGAAAGTTAATACTTGTGATCTCCTTCAGAAAAAGCTTTTGGGAAGACGCTCCATTTCTCCTCATGTTTGTATTTTATGTCTCAACGAGGGTGAATCTGTAGATCACATCCTTCTTCATCGCAGCTTCACTCAAAGGATATGGTCCCATTTCTTGAATATGGCAGGGTACAGCTGGGCTTTTGCAAAACACATTATGGACAACTTGAATCAATGGCAAGGAATAGGGCTTAGCAAAAGGGGTAAAGTCTTTTGGCAATCAGTGCCTCATGCAGTAATGTGGGGCGTTTGGGATGAAAGAAACACCCATATCTTTGACAATAAAAGCAGAACCTTGGAGGAGTTAATCTCAGATATTACCTATCTTTGCATCCTTTGGTCGGTGAATTCAGATCTATTTAAAGGACTTTCAGTCAATTATATTTAGCAGAAATATTCACCCCTTTCTGTTTCTGCCTCATCCTCAGAAAACTCCCTTGAGGCATTCTGTTCCCATCAGTGAAGGTGTGAAAACCCTTAATTTTGACGGTTGTGCCTTAGGCAATCCGGCATTTGCATGTATTGGTGGTACAGTAAGGGACGAAAGGGGCAATATCTGCTGGACTTTTAGTGGCCCAATCGGTTGGGCCAACTCCACAAAGGCTGAAGTGATGGCTGCTCTCACCGGAATCAGGATGATTAAGAATTTGGGTATTCAGAATTTGATCAGTGCAGGTGATTCAGCAAATACAATAAAATTGTTAAGAGACAAAAAAAGGGGCCCTTGGAGATTTTATCACTATCTGGCTGAAGCTTGGGATTCTTTGGATGGATTGAATGTTAATTTAGTTTGGATTCCTAGGGAATACAATCATACTGAAGATGGCCTAGCTAAATTTGGTGTGTATTTGGAGCATTTGTATAGCGACAAGCTTCCTCCTTTGTAACTTCAGGGGGTCCCCCCCCCCTCCCCTGTTTTGTATATCTCCTCTTGTTCCCACCCCCCTCCCCCCCTTTATTCTCAAATAATCTTGGTTAAATTTTCTCAAAACTTTAAGTACTTTTTTGATGGTAAAATGAAAATTTCATTAAAAGAAAAAAAAGAGAGAATTACAATATACTCAGGTATTAAGGTAACACCGAGGAAGAACAACTCAAAAGAAAGTTTTGCACTTGCAGTTTCATAACTCAAGTACAACCCTAAAATTAACCCCTAGATCTGAAATGCAGACTGTGCAAATTCAATCTTTCGATGCTTATCTTCGAACGTTTTTCTGTTCCTCTCTTTCTAGATGGTCCAATGGATAGCAAATGGAATGCAGCTCCACACACTACCTTAAACTTTTTACCTCCTCTAAATGTTGGCCATATTGAAAAGATTTTTTCTGGGATTCTTGGTTGAAAAACTTGCAGACTGAAAAGAATTTCCAACAAAAACCAGCAATCTTACAGGATAAGAACAAGTGAAAGAATGGTTCGTCCTGCTCTTCACACATATAACAGACACTAGCCCAACTGAAACCCCTGTTTTTTAGGTGATCTGCTGTTAAAACATTTTCCATAGAAACCAACCACACAAAGCCTTCCACTCTTGGGGGAACAGGATTGCCCCATGCACCTACACATTGATTTGCACCCATCTGCGAACTTATTAAGGCTGAATAAAAGGGTTTCACAGTGAACCTCTGGTTCCTGCACTCTTTCCACAAAAGTTCATCCCTTGAAGAACTTGACAGCTTTGATTTTTCTAGTACATCCAACAGCCTGATACACTCCTCCACCTCCCTATCCAGAAGAAGCCTTCTAATTTACAACTCCAAATCACCTTGTGGGCAGAGGTGGAGGGGGACTTTCAGGTGTGCTTCATTATCACATTAGGGAGCTTAGATATCTTGGTATAAGTCTGAACATCACATTCAACTGGAGATGCGATCTACCAACAACCTAGATATAGATCTCTTTTGTTGAACTTTTAATTTTTCTGTTAACTTTTAATTTTTCTGTTAAGTGTATCTAGGAAATTCTTTTAAGATAATTTTCATAATATCATGTGTACTGCATCTTCGGATCTCTACATTTTGATTATGAAAAAAAAAGTATCAATACTCGTTCACATTGATCCTGCATATATAGAGAAATTGCCATGGGCTTCATATGAACAGGTTAAATTTAATAAAATCTGTAAGGGTGCATAATGTTTATTGGGTTGTATCCGTTTCCTCCCATGTTCAGTTTATTAGCTCTTGGAGTCATTACTTTCTTTGGATTATCTCAGAATATTTTAGATTTCTGGACTTGTTACTTAATTTCATTAGCTTATTTTGTTTGTCAATTTCCAACGTGACATAGATGTTTATTTACATATTTTTAGAAGCTACTAAGGCTACAGTTGGCATACTTTCAGAGAATTAATCCTGATAGTTTTTTCTTTGAAGAGTGAATTTCTGATAGTGAGATCTTGATGGTTTTGTACATCATCTTATGTACACCCCCTTCCTTTTGCCCCTTTTTGAAAATAATAGTTATCCTTTCTCAAAAAAAAAAAAATCCTATGGTGATTCTAAGAATCACTTTTAATTTTTTTTATCAATAACAAGTAACCTTTTCATTAAAACAGATTAAAATGAGAATACAGAAAAGGGGAGATAAGCTCTCTTAACTTTCCCAATGGGAAAAACTACCAAATAACATATTACAATTACAAATGAGCCCAAAATAGAGAATATATGATTTTTTTTTTCAATTTATTCTTTTTCTGGTTCAAAACTCGTTCTAAGAATTGATTCTTTGAAGCTGAAAATTTTAATTTCAACAAAGAATCACTTTTTTCTCAGAACTCATTCTTCCAATAGTGGTTCTTTGGAGCAGAATTGTAACCAAACATCACCTATGGTTTTCTCTGCAATGTTTCAGGCTCTTGACACCTTCAACACTGCTATCGTGTCTCCTATATATTATGTCATGTTCACAACACTTACGATCCTTGCAAGCGTCATAATGTTTAAGGTATTGTCAATCCACTGAAGTTTTCATGCTGGTTCTACTGCTCCTCTTAGTTGTTTCTTCAAGTTAGTCTGTTTTGTGCTAGCTTTGTTGGGTTGGTTCCTCACACAAGCTGATATGTGAGACCATTTTGTGTCAGACCAATCTTCTATCATCTGAATTTTATCATAAAAAATATTAAGAAAGATTTAATAGAAAAAAAATCTTTCTTTGGTCAGTTCACACTGTTTCTGGTGAAATATTTCAGGATTGGGATGGGCAAAGTGGAGGAAGCATTGTATCAGAAATATGTGGATTTATTGTAGTGCTCTCTGGGACCATTTTATTACATGTGACAAAAGACTCTGATAGAAGTTCCTCCTTTAGAGGTGCGAGATAAGTTTGTTATTTTCTTTCACAATCTGTCTTCATTCCCACTCACTCCCATACAATCATTTTACTAAATTTTTGAATTTCTTCTAGACTCTTGTATTTACTATGTTTACATCCATACAGGTAATTATGCACCATTGTCTCCATCGTTGTCAGCCCGGCTCTATAGTGGAAATGGGGAATTATTGAAGCATGGTGACGAAGATGCTTCAACTTCAGAAGAAATCTGTTTAAAAAGACAAGAGCTGTACTAGTAGCTGGTTGTGTTCCAAGAAACTATTCACCAACCATACCACTGGACAACAACATGAAACCAGAGTGCAAGTTTGCAAATTCTGAGAAGAGATGTATAGAGTTGATAGTTCCACGTCATTAGTTGAAGTTAAAGTGGATTCCAGAAGGATTTGGAAAAGCTCTTGGAAATGGAAATTTGCAGAATTTGGTTCATATAAGTTGTCCATTGAAACTTGTGGTTTCCTTGAATTGCAGTTTTATGGAGGAGGTCATGGGAATGGCTGCTCAGGTTTACTTGCCAGGACACGTACTTTCTCAGATTTTCTACCCCTAATGGGTGTTTGGCACAAAGTGTTGTGTTTGTGGGAAAAAGAGTGGAATGAAAGGCCTAGTTTTGGTCATGACGTTAGTTTTTTTTGCACAAGAAGTATCTGCACAGAAAAATGTAAACATACCTGAAAGTGAGGTTTCATCAGGTACTCAGCGACCCTGATGCATTTATTTTTTGGTTTGTACAACATTGGTGTATTCTTGTACAGTATGTCATTGATTTGTTGCATTCTTTATGCTCACAGTGAAATGTTTCAAGTCTTCTTGTTAAACGTAAACCTATTATCTATTCAGTCTCCTTTGCAAAGGAATAACCAACCTTGAGGGCTTGATTTTTGAAGTTTGTTTAATAGGGCCTAGGGTCGATTATTTGATAAAATACTAAATTTGGAATTAGAAAATATTATTTTCCTACTAAAGTGGGCTTATTTCAGACATCGAAGGAATTATTTTTTTGTTGCACAGGAAAACGTGTTCATCATGACTGCAGGCTATTGGCTTACATAGCAGACAGTCCTGCTAAGACATGTAAAAGGTGAATATATCGATTAGGTTGTCAATTTTGAAAACTGTCTACTAGAGTTGGAAACTTTGGAGCCTTCTATGGCTTCAAAACTAACTGTTCGTATAGAAGTGCTTCCAATATTTGATGATTCGGAGTACAGTAGTACTGCTGTAGTTGTTCATCTGTCAAGTTCCCCATCAATGGTGTCTTTTTCACCCACGTTGATGACCTTCAAAGAATTATTCTTGTCATCTTAAAGCAGATCAAAGAGGGAATTATTCTTGTCATCTTAAAGCAGATCAAAGAGGAATTTACTTAAGGGACAGAGGGCCACAACAAATATGTGTTTGGTTTCGTTTACGTTTTTTTCATTCAAACATTTGTATAAAATTTGTTTGTAAAACCGAGAAACGTAATAATTATAACCGTTTATGATAATTAAGCCCATATCACTACATTAGTATATCAATAAAAAATCGTCTAACCGATTGTGGAAGCTTTGAAAAATAACTTCTCCAAACGGTAGGTATGTACAAAAACTGAAGTTCACTTTTGCCATTCTCGATGCGTACGGAAGAGTAAGAGAGGGGAATTGCTGAAGTGGTGCCTATGTGGTACCGTTTATTGAATAAACGCCTACGGAACCAAACACCCTGTAAGTTGTTATCCCCTACTTTGTTTAAATGACAAACAGAACAAAACCAATGTTCAAAATATCAATACACCCGATTGGCTTATTGGGCAATATTGATAGATATTTTATTTTTTTTTTCAAATCTGGTTCAGAGGGGTCTGTTTAAGGTCCGTACACCCCCTGAACTGGTCGAAACCCCGATACACCCTCTGTAAGAGTATACAGGGGTGTATCGGAAAGCTCCTGATACGATATATATTGGCCGATATAACCCGATACATGTCGATACTTTAAACCTTGAACAAAACCAAATAGTTATATGTTCAGAGAAAGGTGGTATCAAGCATGATGAATCTCATGGCGAATTCCCTCTGAACATCACACTTGAACGATGAAAGCTGGCCAATGTGAAAACTTGGAAAGGGAAAACGGACAGATTTGAGAGAAGACATTGGATCCAAAGCTGGGAAAGCCACACATGAGGAACATCTCCTTGGTCCTTGATTAGTATCTTTACTATCTAGTGCAGAACTTGCTTTGGTCCGTTTGAAAGGAGCTCCAAGTCAATGCATGCCACTTTAAGCATTAAAACCTCCCAAGATATCTCCTCTTTTTCAGCTTCATACAATTCATTCACTAGTCCAGATTTAAGAACAGATAGCAAACCTTCATCACCATGGCAGTTAATCACTAAGACTCAGTTTGGAAGGAGTAAATGCAAATACGTAGAGTGCAAAATTATGTATTTTGTATGTATTTATACTGTAAATATTTGTATTTGTACTCCTTCCAAACTGAGCCTAAAGATTTATTTTATTTCCTTTTAAGTTTGATATGACTTGGAAAAAGCGGGCACTTAGGCACTATCAAATTATACCAATCTACTTAGAACAGTAAGCTGCAGGGATCTATCACTACTTACACCATTTAATAATTGACAATTTTACTACATCTAACATATTTGTAACAGTATTTCATGGTCGAGGAAAGAAGAAAACTTGTGTTTTTTCTTCCTTTCCAAATGGTTCAGTAGGTTAGAGAAGGTCGTTGTTTATCCTCCAATACTATTCAGAATTGTACAACAAATCTCAGTGGAGCTCCTCCAGCTCAATTCCACTCCCTAGACCTCTCTCCGTCATGTATTCGTGGTTGGAAGTTGAACATCACTAACCCCCCCTAAACATCCGCCGGTTTATTTGCTGGAAATAGTCACCAGATTGTGTTGCTGGGCTGTCTGGTATCCCAGCTCCTTCGTTATGATGTGACGCTCCCGCATATTGTTGCATCACAAGCACCGATACTGTTAAAGCAAAGTCCGACGATGCCAGCAAGTCTCCGATTGCCCCCAGTTCCGGGCACTCGCTCCAATCAGTGAGACCAGCGGTGAGAGGTGATACCATACCTTGTCCTCTCCCAACAATGTATAGGTCGTGCATGTTGTCCATGGACCGTATTACGGCCACCGTCTCCTCCCCATTGTTGCAAATCTTCTCCGTGTATGTAATCGATTCATTGTGCATATTCTTCATCCTGAATTCATTTACGTACTCATCGTCGAGATGCCTCTCTTTCTCGCTGTCTGTAATCACTGTTAGGATTTTTATATCATGGGTATCGCTGGCGGGTTCCACCAGGGGATCCACTGCATTTTCCCCTGGGATGAAGCGTATCACGGTCAAGATAATGCCGGGGTGTTCCGACATCCTCCATGCATACGCCAATGCTTCTCTATCATCAGGTCCACCAAAGAAGAGTATAGCAATGTGGTGGGAGGTTTGGCCTGCTGCCGCTCGTGAAGCCCCACCAAGGCCGCGGTCAACAAGAATGCCGACGGTGCAAGGGGCATTGGCCAAGACATTTTGGTTGACATTGCGGCAGGCAGGATTGATGGCCTCCATACCACCATCCACAGTTTGTTGCTTGTGGAAAGGGAGGATGATGAAGGCGACTCGTTTATCTTCAGCCAGGTTGCATATGTCCTCGTGCATGGTGGAGTAGGGAGAGATTGCAGTGAGGGGCTGGACGGAGACAGAGCCTGAATGTTGCTCGTAGTTTTCGAAAGCATTGATGATGTGGTCAGACTGTGCCTGGGTGCGATTGAGAGCAGGATGACCAGTCTTGCGGGTGTTGTGGACAATCAGCATGGCAGAGGCACGTCCTGTGAGTTCCACAAGGTGGAGTGCGTAGACGCAAATGGGTGATCTCTTACTGGGATGAGAAGCTTCAAGGAGATTGATCATGGTTGGGACATTGCGAGGTGTGTGGATGCAGGACAATATACGGAACTCCCCGTCAAGCTTGGATCTCTGAATGGTCCTACGCTTGTATGGTACAAATCGTCTCGCCGGTTTATAGATCATCGTTACGACCGGAGTGATGACGCTTGTCATGAGTACTGCAACAACCACCATGAGCGCAAATGACTGATCGTCTATAACCTGTTCCAGTACTCGATATATATAAAAAGGGATAAGTACACTGCACTCATGGTAGAGAGAGAGAGAGAGAGAGAGAGAGAGAAACCTTCTGGTCCTTGCCGACGTTGAGGACAATCATCTCAACTAAGCCTTTAGCGTTCATTAGTAGTCCAAGAGCGATTCCGTCTCGGATTGGCATATCGTAGAAGAAAGCAACAAGAGCTGTTCCAAACACCTTGCCGGCACAGCCCAAAGCGATGATGACCATCAATACTGCCCAGGTGGAAGACCCATGGATGGAGGCAATATCGGTCCTAAGGCCACTAATGGCGAAGAAGAGCGGGAGAAGAAGCCCTGAGACAAAATCTTCAAGCTTCTCAATGAGGGCTGCTCCAAGCGGTCCATTGGGTATTACAAGACCAAAGACGAAGGCACCGAAGATGGAATGGGTGCCTATAGCGTCAGTGATGAATCCGCAGATCATGACCCCGGTGAGAATGAGGCAGATATAGACATCATTGAAGTTCTCGCCCTCTGGGGTTCGTCTTATGATCCATGAAATTGCAGGCCTGACAAGAAAGATGCAAACCAAGACATACATGGCTGTGGAGACAATCACCCAGAGGGAGGCCAAAGAGGCGGCATCAGTCTCGGCCACAGCAATGGCCACGGCAAGCAGGATCCATGCAGATATGTCATTTATTATGGCCGCAGACATGGCTATTCTCCCGATCTCCGTGTTGAGGAGTTTTAGCTCTGCAAGGACACGAGCTAGCACGGGGAAAGCTGTCACAGAAAGAGCGACGCCGAGGAAGAGGAGGTAGGTGACATGGTTAACAGTGGTTTGCTCCTTTATTTCGAGCAAAAAGAAGGAGAACGCAGCGCCTATGATGAATGGCAGGATCATACCAGCAAGAGCGATGAACAAGGCCTTCTTTCCTGTGCGCCTGATCACGGTGAGGTCCATCTCCACCCCAACTAAGAACAAGAAGTAGAGCAATCCGACATTTGCCATGGTCTCTAGAACCATCACGCTCCTCAATGGGAACACTGCGTTGGCAAACTTACTACTTCGTCCCAGAACTGATGGACCCAACAACACACCTCCCTGCATTAATTAAATTCATCATTATTCATTCATCTCGTTACGTTATATATTGTTTCTAATTTGGTTTTGATTAAACTACAAATCAGAGAGAAGATAGATGATCATGAAGTCCAGTAGTGCAATTGTTTGCTTTATATTTTCCTTACAAGGATCTCAGAGATGACTCTGGGCTGGCGGAAGGGTCTGAGGATGAAGACAAGAACGCGGGTGGTAATGACGACGAGAGTGAGCTGCAAGATGAAGAGAGGAAGCGAATAATCCAAAGGGTTGTCGCCTTGCCAGATGCCACTTGTGGTGATCATGGTTGGCGAATAGCATACGATTAGGTCTTCTGTCTTGTTCATAGGACCAACCGCAGCCCCAGAGGTGTCTACGTTTAACTCCATTTCACTCCTCCGTCCTCAACACCAACAGCAATATATTTCTAAATTCTACCTACAACAAAAACGAAACAAGTGCATCCCCCATCACCACGATGATCTGCAGTGATAACCTTTGATACGATTTCTTTCCCTCAACGCATTAAGACAAGAGAGGAAGCAGAGAGAAGATATGAGTCAAATGAGGGAAAGAAGAACATGGGGACGTGAGAGAATTGTAGTAAAAGAAAGAAAAACTTGGAAACCCAAGAGGATAAGGAAAAAAAAAATACAGGTTTGACGCACTGTAATGCTTCCTTGTTTCCGCTTGGAAGATGAATGGTGGTAAAGGAGGGAAGAATTACTATTGACTCTTTAGGTGGTCGGGCGCCCCATTTGGAGGATGCGCTCTGTTGTGTGGTCACTACTCATTCTCTCTTTTCTTTGGAATCCCTACAATCCCGTATCTTAATCTGTCATCCTACTGAAGCGGGATTGCATGAGGCCTGAGATTGTGGATCACCGGTCCAAGTTAGTAGTTTTTCTTACTAATCTTTCTGAAGCAAAGGTCATTTTGTTTTCAACCTTTTAGCTTTTTAGCTTAAGACTCATGTCATTTACTGTCTTCTTTTTATTTGGAACATGTTCCCAATGCATGCTGCTGAGATGTGTATGTGGGGCGTTTGTGGGCGCCCTCTGTGTGGGGCGCAGATGTGAATTCGTTGGTGAAGTCTCTCGCTGAGTTATAATGGAGGCTTTGGGATCAAATCCCGCTGTCAACAGGGTTGGGTGGGTTATGGGTATGGGGGACGGGTTATATCATGTTGTGTAGTCCCAGTAGACCTGGAAATTGGGTTGGGTGGGTCGAGACGTTATGGGTTGATTTCGTATCGGGTTGGATTCCGGGTTGAGTCAGCAAATGATAGACCCTAACCCTAAATGTTTGGGTTAGGGTTGACCCATGGGTCAAGTCGGGTCATTTTAAAAATAATAGAAATTTTAAAAAATAAAGAAAAAATACATGAAAAATGTCAAAATTAAAAGATTTAGCCTTAAAACTCCAAACATAAAATCAAAGAATTTGAACATTCAACAATTCAAAAAGTAAATGATAATGAGTAATGACTAAATAGTAAAGATGAAAGAGAGAAAGCTTCTAGCAATACATAAATAGTCACAATTAGAACTAACAATCGGGTCAGCAGGTTGACCCATGGTCCAACCTAACCCAATTTTTCCCAATTGGATCGAATCGGGTCATTCTCAAATTCAAGTAGTTACATATAGACCCTAATCCTATTTTTTTCAGGTTTGATTGGGTCAACTTTTTGCCAAGTCTACATATCAGTTTACTCATCCAGGTGGAGGAAAGAGAATGAATCAAAATTCAAGGGGATAGTGAATCATAGGTGGAATTGTTGGTAAACAAAACCTAAAAATCTAATAAAAATCCGTGAGGTAGAATGAACTTTAAATTTCCTATTTTTTTAATGCAAAATAACGGGTTTTGAAATGATCATTGACATGGCCAAAACCATGCATTTTTAGTCCTGTATAGACGAAATAGTTTTATAGTTATTAACTGAAGCGGTTTTTGTTTTCTCTTTTGGAGCCAAGTAGAGCCATTTTCAACCCATTACAACAGGTCCATATCGGGTATGGGTCTTAGAAAATTGTTTTATAATTATGGTCATTGATTAGGGGTATTTTGTAGAGGTGTAAAGTTGGCAGCCTGGCCGGGCCACCACAACCCAGTCACTAAGCAAGCGGGCCAAGTTATATATATATATATATATATATATGTATGTATGTATATATGTATATAATAATAATAATAATAATAATAATAATAATAATAATAATAATAATAATAATAATAAATATTATTATTATGTAATAATTATATACAATAATATATTAATATATACATATATGTATATAAATTTATATTTCCAATTTTATTATTCTATTTTATTGTAATTTTTTTAATTTCTTTTTATTATTTCATATATAAACAATTGTATACATCAACATTGAAATAAAATTTTAAGATCTTTTCTTTCAGTTTTTTATCTATCCTGTTAATTTATTTTAACATTTTATATTATTCTTTTCAATTTTTTTAAAACAAGTCATGTTGCCCATTTTGGATCCGGGCTTCAAACCATACTAGGCTATCCTCTTGGAAATTCGTGCCAAGCAAGTACAACCCACCAAGACTCGCAAGCCGACATGGCAAGGCTGGCATGACATGGCAGTTGTTTTTGTTTTCAAAAACAAAGCCAACCGTGCTGTCCAACACCTCTCAAAGATTCATCAAATTATGCTCTTTGAAGACCATATCCTTTTGGGTATGTTTGGAACTGTGGCCGTTTTTCAAAAAACGGTGTCACGTCGGATCCACAAAGGTATTTCAACAAACGCCTATATATATGAGTGTTTGGTTCAGGCATTTATTAAAAAATCGGGCATGCCTCATAAATCGGGACGCGCCGATGTGTTTCTCCCAACGGTTGACTAATATGTATCCTATGTGGTGCTTACTGATAACCCTATATTTTGATGCCTTAAGGGCATAAATTTAGGGGTATTTTCGGCCTTACAATAGTCAAAGTGTACCCTTTTCCCAGTTAAAATCAATTATGTGACCTTTAAGGGTCTCTGTGCAAATTATGTAGAAAATTATAAATTTTTCTAAGTTGAAGTTCAATTTTTGGGAAGCTGGTGTGAACACCAGTTGAGAGAGGGGGTGTTTTTGCAAAGAACTGAGAACAAGATGGCACCTCCTATTTGTTAAACCCAGTTGGCGCCCATCCTATTGTATTACCATGCTCTCCTCCCCTTAGCAAACCCTATGGAGCCCTTTTAATCTAATCTTTTCACTCCTAACAAACCCTAGCCGCCCCTAGGTGTTTAATTTCCACCCTCCACATCTTTTAATCTCAACCACTCATTTTAGGGCTCTCCTTTATAGCTTTTAAACCCTAGGGCACCACCTATTTTGCTAATCCTCACTATTCAGTTCATCACCTCCAAATCTCAACCACTCCCTCCATCTTATATCCCAACCGTTCAATCTTGAACACCACCTATTCTTTAAATCTTAATCCTTCAACCTTAGATGTTCTAATCTACACACTCCATTTTTGGGCGCCCAAATCTCAGCCCTACATAATATTGGACACCCTCTCCTTTTATTTTTTAGCCATAGAATCACCCCAAAACCATCTTACCCATCCATTAGAAACCCTAGAGCGTCCCTAACTTTGCTAAATCCCAACTGCCCACCCATCTTTCTTCTAATTTTTAGTTGTATTCACCCTTCTCTATAAAAAGGGTCCTAGGGGCCCTGTAGAAGGGGTTGGTCAATTCACCTAGTTAACAAGGCTAAAGTTTCTTGAGGTGTTCAAGGGTTGTAGAAAGGGAGGATGCCCATATCTTGTCACGAGGGGTTCCTGCAAGCTGTTCAACCATTCTACAACTACCGCCACTAGATCTAATCAACCAATCATTTCTTTTCTTTATTTTCTTTTCTGCTATTTTTATTTCCACAATCTTTTAGATTAAATTCTTTTTCGTTTTTCTGTTTTGCATATCTGAATTCGTTCGGTTCAAGGCTAAGGTTTCTCTAGGGGTTCAGAGGTTGTAGAAAGGACAGACGCTCAGTTCTTGTTAGGAGGGGTTTCTACAAGATGTCTGGCCGATCTGCAGCTACCGCCACTGGATCTGGATTCTAGATCATTTTTTTTATTTATTTCTTTATTTTTCTTTGTTGATTCCTATACTTTATTAAAATTTGATTTTTATTTATTGTCTTGTTTAAATTTGAAACATTTACTTTCAACAATAATAGATTTTATTTTCGTATTTTCTACCATTCCCGAATGCATTCTCTTGTTCGAATCTAAGTATATATTAATTTTTCACATGCTTCCCTGTGGATACGATCCGTTCTCACCCATTTACTACATTAGTAGTTGTTTGAGAAATGGTGAAAATAAAAAAATTTTAAACTAGTGTTCTAGAGTGTTTAACGATGTGCTTCCGGACACACCAAGTTTTTGGCGCCAATGCTGGGGAAGCAGGGAGAAAAATTTTTATTTACTTCTTCTAAATCTGTTTCATTATTTTTTCTTTTTCGTTTTATTACTTGATCCGTTATCTCAGTTTAATTCTTGTTTCTCATTGGTTCTACAGGACGGAATAGCGAAAGGTGGGGTACCAGAGCATTGTGGGATTATGGGATAGAAGAGAAGAGAAGAGAATTGGATTGCGTTTCAGGTGTAGTCGTTCCATTTTACTTTTGATTTTTTTATTTTTATTTCTGAACTCCTTTTTTTAGTTGAATAGTACTTTTTGAATTTTTAATTAATTTTTTTAGATCCGGTTTATTTAGTTTTAGTAGTATTTTGCTTCCATTTTGTTTCTAGATCTATTCTTCTTTCTTTATTTTAATTTCTTGTTCGATTTTTTTGCTTTATTAGGTTTGTGTTTTCTTTTATTTTAGATTTAAAAAAGAAACAAAAAAATTGTTTATTTTATTTTATTTCTTACAGCACAATTTTGTTTGTTTGTTTTATTTTATTTTATTTTTGGTTTAAATTTTAGTTTCATTTTTTTTCTTTTATTTCAGATAACAAAACAATAAAAAAAACAAAAAAAGAAACAAAAAAGTTCATTTATTTTATTTTTGTAGAGTATTTTTCTTTTGTTAATTTTATTTTCGTATTAATTTTTAGATTTGTGTTTTTCTTTTATTAAAAAAACAAAAAAAATATATAAATAAATAATTCAGTATATTTTTTTTGTTTAATTTTTTTAGATTTGTATTTTTTTCTTTTATTTTATCTATTTCTTACATAATTTTCTTTTTGATAATTTTATTTTCAGTTTAATTTTTAGATTAACAATTAGTTTGTTAGAATTTATTTTTGGTAGTTATTAATTCTGTTTAGAACAATTAATTGTTGTTTTATTTTTATTTTTTGCAATTATTATGTGTTGCTTTATTTAATTTCTTTTCTTTT